GGATGGGAACATATTAGAAGGAAGAGGGATTTCAGTGGAAGAGGGGAGTGGAAGGGGCTGGGAGAATCAAAATGACCAAAATTCACTCTGCACATGTACAAAATTGGCTAATAATAACAAAAGGGTAATTTATTGTGGATTTTATTTTAAAGGGTTATCACCTTTTCGGTAAAATCTAATCTATCTCTTGATTTCCTAAAGTCCAAGTCACTACCCTTTAACCCATAAAATACAACTTTTTCCTTTCTATTCTGGTTTCATTTCTAGGGAGAAAGTCATAACTGTCATCACATTCTCACCCTCTAATGCTTACTGATGGAGAAATAAGGGCTGTGTGTCTCTGATAAGGAATTCAAAACAGTGAGAGTTTCAAGCTTGACTCTCTCTGAATGACACCAGATGGTCTCCTTGACCCTGGGGCTACAGAAGAAGCGGTAGGAAACTATGGCGATGACTCTGGAATGTTCTGAGACCATCTAGCCTAGATGTGTGACATCGCCCTGAAAGCCTGCCCAAAGATGCTCCATGAATAATAGGGCTCCATAACTGATTTCCTTACCACAGGAAAGCAGACCATAGTATGTGAGAAATAATAAGTATAACGTAATATATATATATTGATATATATCATGACTCTGTGCATTTATTTTATATAGGACTATACTCATCTGAATGAAAATTAGTGGGTTCTCATCTATAGACACACAAATTTGGAAATCTGTTCACACTGGTACATCACCATCAGATCTGGAGAACTGGAATGACTTAGTACTGTGTGCCTAAATCATTCTCACATCACTGAACCACACATTTGATAGAGCTCTTCAGTTGTTGCTGGATTTAGTAGCAGAGAAGAAAGCAGAAGAGGAAGAAAGCTTTGAATAAGTAAACGCTGATAGTTCTAAGGAACAAAATAAGTGAACATTTCATAATATGATAAGCCAGGATGAGCTTGTCTACCCTGAGCTTACAAATTCAACATATTTTACATCATCATTCTCCTAATTTTTTCTTATTTTTTTATTTATTATTTTTATTTTATGTATATGGGTGTATGGTCTGCATGTATGTGGGTACACCCATGTCATGCAATGCCACGGAGGTCAGAAGAGGGCTTTGGATTCCTCTGGAACGGGAGTTAAGGATGGTTCATAGCCACCATGTGGGTGCTGGGAATCGAACCTGGGTCCTCTGAAAGAGCAGTCAGTGTGCTTAACCGCTGAGCCATCTTTCCAGCCCCTTTTCTCCTAATATTTCTTATCTTTAATTCAAACTATATCTTTGACAGTCATAAAGAAAGAAAGCCATGACTCGTAACACCTATATTCAGTGGGTATGAGAAACTGACTGTGCATCCATGGTGACAAGGTTAAGACAGTCCCAGTGTTTGTTGTCAATCACCCATCCAGCCAATCCCCGACTCATTGGGGTCTTGTTAGAAGCCAACAGTCCCTGGAGATTTTATTTATGGAGGAAGAGTTAAAGTTGTTCCTGTTCACATTAGGGTGAGATGAATCTAATAACCCCTCCCCAAGAGGGGAGGTAGTTTAAAGCCCTCCTGGTACTAGCTCTTAGTGACAGACAAGCTGGTGATCATGACTAACTCTGAGTTAAGGCACACAGAGCAGGAAATAATTCCAACACTGAATTAAAAGCAGAAAACCGTGCTACCTTTTTATGGAGAGAGACAACTTGGGTTAGCACAAAGTATGCGATCTTTGGAGCCAGAAAACCCTGGATTCTGCTGCATGGCTCCTACCACTTAGGAAAGTGACTCAACTTCTGAGTCAAATTTTGTCATCTGTGGGTAGGCGTATTAATTGGCTTGATGGTGGTAGTCATTTCATAATGCATTCATATTTCAAAATATCACGTTGCGACCTTGATCAAGTACATACAATTGTTATCGATAAAGTGGACGCTTTATCTCAGAAAGTGTTTCAAAAATAATGAAAGTTCATTGTTCTAAGTGCACATTATATAGTAATCTGTATGATAGATGTGTACAGAAATATACAGCCCATATGAACATTGCAAGGGCTCAACATGCCATTGCTCAGATGTCCAGCTTTTGTTTGCACATGTTACTGACTCACTCTCCAGGTTGCATAGTGACAGCTCTGCTTCCCCCAAACTATGACCATCTCCCAGTTATGGGGCTGGGGGATAGCTCGGGGTAAAAGTACTGACAACCTTATTTAGGGTTCTCAGAGCCCATGTGAAAAAGTTGGACACAATAGTGCAGGGAACTGCAAGGCCAGCATACCGGCCTGGGAGACAGGAAGCAGAGACAGGACGCTCTCCAGGAGCTGGAGAGCCAGAGAGCCGCCTCCCTGAAGCAGCGACGAGGCCTTGTCTCAAACAAGGTGGAAAGCCAGTCTCTCTGGGGTGGCACTTGAGGTTGTGTTCTGATGAAAGCACACACACGCACACGTGCACACATGTATGCACGCCCCTCTTGGTTATTTCTGGAGGTCATCACAGGGAGACTCATGTTGCAAGAGGCACGGGTAAATCTTGTTCTTCCAACTTCCCAATGAGGCCACTGCTATATGTCTATGGAGGAGGTGTCCTTTTCTAAGACCCTCCCTGAGAGACCTCTAGGAGAATTCCAGAAAGGAGAAAATCCCCACCTCTCTCTCTTTATCACAGCCAAGGTTAAAAAGAGCCATCAGTTTCTTCTGCATCCCTCCTGAACAACTTGACTTTGGAATTATGCTAAGCAGTCAATCATGCTTGTTAGCCATTTCTCTCTCTTTTCTGTCTCTGTCTCTTGCCTATTGCTGCTTAGATTTCTCACAAGAAAGGCATGAGGTTGATAGATTCTTTGACAGACTTGTAGATTAAGTGACTAAAACAGGGAGACTTGGAATACCGTTCTTCCTCCTCCTGCTATCCACTTTGAATAAACACCCTTCAGAGTCACAAATTTCAGATACCAATTTCCCACCAAAATGAACTTAACATGTCCTACAAAATGGTAGCAATTGCTATAATTACCATTCCACTTCAAGTCAGGTTAGGCCGGACTGTATACTGACTCAAAAATAATGAGTCTGACGTTGTATGGCGAGTAGGACTTCACAACAAAAATTGAAAATGGAGTCAGAAAGTCAGAGTAGTAAAAGAGTTCTGAAACAATAAAGCACGCTACTTGGAAGGGGTGAGTTGGGAGACTTCATGGATAAGACATCTTCTCTTTCTTGTCTGTATTCTCTTTTGGAAAAATCATTGTACAGGACACCAGCTATTTTTCTGACACGCTCCATCCTGGTTCACCACTGGCACCGTTTCCCTTCCTTGATAACTTCTTTTAATAATGTAAAGCCAGTTTCCGGGCAAACAACAAGACTTCCCTTCTTCCTTCCTCTTCTGCCCCACTCCCTATGTCCTTAACTCATCTTCTATCCCCAAGAAAAGGTGGGAAATAATTGTGAAACTATTTTTTAAGTGAATGAGGTTTTGACCACAGTCCAAAAGAATTCTCCAGAGATTGCTTTCAAACTAAAATCAATTTCACACCCAGTAGAAAACTTTAGTTTCATGAAAGGAAGGATAAATGGGAGAATTCAGAAACCTTCTTCTTACAAAGAAGTTAGTTCTAATATCGTGACCCAATTGCTACCAAGAAGTGTTCTCTACCTGAAACCAAGAAACAAAATGAGAATTACTTTGTTGATAACACTTGTGTCATTTACCTAGAGCAAATGAAACACACTGTGGTTATCAGTCACTTTCTTTGCGAGCACAGCTTTTTATCAGTTGTATGTTAGCATTCAATGTCAGTTGTCTTTGCAGTAGTTTGCCAAGTGATATGGAAAGGACAGCAAAAGCCAAGGGGCAGCAACTGCTGTAGTCATCCTTAGCAGTAGTTCACAGATAGAAGCATCAATGCGTTTTCACTAAAAGTTTTAGACAAAATATTTCAAGTTCATTACTTTTTGAACTCAGTGTGTACTTGTTACTGGTATTTGGAGGACATGGAGGAGTGACACCAGCAGTGGATCGTGCAGGTAGAAATGATGTGGCTGTATCATTTCGTTTTTCCTCTTGCTTATTTCCTGTAGGCAGCTTGGGATCAGCAGGAACTGCTAGAAGCTCACACTGCCTCTCTTCTATCCCCTCTTCCTTGAGGCTCATTCTTTCTTTAAAAAAGAAGTCTACAGGGCTGGAGAGATGCTTCCATGGTTAAGAGCACTGGCTGCTCTTGCAGAGGACCCAGGTTCAGTTCCCAGCACCCACATGGTGGCTAACGACCATCCATAACCAGTTCCAGGGGATCCAGTGCCTTCTTCTGACCTCCGTGGGCATTGCACCACACGGGTGCGTTTACACATGTGCAGTATCCTCATAGACATCAGTTTCTCTCCCTTCTGAGAGAGCATGGTCCTGTCTAATTGCATTCACAACAAAGAAATAGTGAACAGCAATCTCGGGCTTCTCATAGCTGGTCTCTTGTGTGAGGTATTCTATCTTTTGGCTCAAATTCTTCTGAATTGCAAGGAAGCAGGCGAGAGTCCTTTGGCATTTGAATATTCTATATGATTTCTAGAGAGGTATTTCACAAGATCACTTTAGTTGAACTTGGTTACTTTGTCTTCTTATACAAAAACATATTCTTATCAGATTCATAATTTTGAAAGTAGCAAGATAAAAAAAAATTTATTAAACCCAGATCAATCACTCCCTTTGTCAAAAAATGTAAAAATCAGCATACAATGGAGATAAACATGTAAGGTTGTAAGTGATTTCTGTTAGTTTCTAATTACCAGATTGTAGAAAAAAAAGCTAAGAATCTTGGATAATGACTTCATTTTGATTTTGAATGCATACTGCTACCCAATGTACATAAAATAATCAGCAACCAAATGAAACTGATATACCCAGCAGCTGGCTGAATTTAAATGATTTTGAAACTGTGCTTATAAAAAGCCACATGGGGTGTTTTGCTGTTTTAACAATGAAGCAAATAAATCACTCCTCTGTCGATTTTCTAACAGGACTGGGAATTCCCCCACTTCATGGGTGATGTTGATGTGAATCTCCCTGGGTTGCACACTCCTCACATGCAGTTCAAGATTCCTTTCTTCCAGAAGATCTTCAAGGAGGAATATCGCATCCACATAACAGGTATATCGTATTGAATACAATTTGGTTGTCGCATATCCAGGGTTTGCTGTAAAAAAAAGCTAACCGTAGATCGGAGAGTCATAAGTTTAATTGTATCTCTTACTCATTTACAATATAAGATGGCGCCACAGGGGTTGGTGACTCAGTACCATCCATCTGGGATGTAGACTACTGGTTGCTTTGAGCAGTGCAATGTTAACATTCAGATGGGAAGGAAAGGATTCCAGACCGTGATGAAGAACACTCACCTGTTTCATTGCCTTGACCTGGAAAATAAACAGGTCACCTCTCTGCATGTTCCATTGACAGTTACTGGTAAAGTGTCGTATTTATAGAAATGAGCAGTCACTTCCATGTCAGGTCTAGCATTCGGGTGTGTGAGGACCAAAGTAGAGGAGCAAGCTTTGACACAGACAGTTATTTCTGTCAGACTCCATGGGCTGCTCTGCATTGATCTTCCAAACTGGGGTTTCTTTCTCACAGTGCTCAGTGTATATTTTCTTCATCAACCTACTTTGTGTGCCTGCATTTCCCGCTAAGGTGAAGACTATGGGTCTTGGTGCTCCCATCAGTCCTCATGGCTCTAGAAAATCCATCCATTGGCTCTTTGATTTCATGAAACCTTCTTCTGTGTCCCAGCCCAAGTTTGTCTCAAGTGATCCTTTTTTTGGATCTCCAGATTATTTTGCTTTCAGACAGTTCATGCTTCTGAAATGAATAAAATAGGATTTATTATAACATTCTTTCATCATGTTTCAGTCATTCTCATGCAAAAAAAAGATAAAAAAGACTTCCTGCAGTTATGTTTTATACCTTCTTTTCTTTCTAACAAAAAGCAAACAGCTGGATGATCATGGATAAAGGGTAGCATCCATTCCCAAGCTGTTTGAATGAAGGGCATGAACGTGTGCTTTAAGGACAATGCTCTAGGATCCCACACCTGCTATAATAAAAACTGTAGAAGAAATCTGTGCTTGTACTACCGTCTGTGCTGCTGGATAAAAATAGCCTGAGCACAAAAACATTACCATCTGAGTACTGAAAACCTCTTTGCTTCCCAGCCAGGAGGCTGTGTTTTCCCTCTGAGTATGAGGCGACCTTCCTAAGTTGGAGAATGAGCTCACGAATAGGGACTATGCAGCTTCTTTTCCTAGTCAAAGTGTTTGAGGCCCATCTATTAGATTCACTGGGTCAATTGATGAATTTGCGTGCAGGTCACATACTGTGGTTTCAGAGTCCCCACTTCATCTCTGCAGCATGCTACCCTCTTGGACTTCTAAAACAGTCATAATGCACACAGCAGCAGCACCTCCCAATGGCTGGGCTCTTCCCGAACCATCTGTTCTTACTACCAGCTCTGGTCTCAGGCCATCACTGTACAAAGACTATCTCTGATTATCAGAATACCTGTCAAAGGTGTTCTGCCTAAGTACAAAACAATGAGTTAAGGGAAAAATAAAGACAGAAAAGAATTGGAGAACAAATTGGTTAAAAAATTTAACTATTAAAAATATTCAAGTTAGGGCTCTTTTTCCAAGGCTTTGCTAAACAGTGTTGATTAGAGAAGGGGCAGATTGGGGGTTTACAGTGTTCAATGTTTATGCGCCTTGGAATTCTTTATTTAAAAAGACAAACAAAAAATTGCAATTAAAAGTTGCAGGCAGTGTCTTGGAAGGGAGCTGTGCATGTGGGAGGGACTCCCTGAAGATGCCGTGTCATTGGCTTAAGTTACAGAGGCTATGACACATTCAGAGGGACTTGGAATAGGACTTCAACCTGGTTTCATCAACTTCATCTTCTTCTAGAAGCTGAAGGAAGAGAGGAAGAGGCCTTAATAAATTTTTTCTAGAAAGTGGGAATAATGTGACTAAGGCTTCGGGCAGTGTTTGCTAAGTTATGTTTGTCGTCAAGTTCTTAAACTGTCTTTGTAATAGATGGCTCGGTAAGCTCTTTCCGCATCAGACCCAACAGTTCTGGTGCTGTAGGTCTTGGGAAGGGACTGAGATAGGAAGGAGATCCTTAGGTGATGTGGATAATTTAGTACTGCTTCATTTTGACTGAGAAGTTACAGATGAAGTCAGAAGGTTACAATGTGTCCCATCAGAGTTCACCTTGAAAATGACAGCTTCCTGAATCTGCTGGGAAGGGCTTTGAGGATTCTAGAAGGTAAATTCAGAGTGAGGGCATTGGGGTAAAGGACGCCTCCATAAACAATTTATGATATATCCAGTTTGTTCATCTGCATCCATAGATCTGTGGTTTCAGTTCTTTGGAAAATAGCTACAGGTTTTGAGGCAAAGCCAACCCCTTCCTGTTTTCAGTTTTGCTCTTTCTATTCCCTTCTCTTTTCTTTTAATTGGCTGAAAAGTGCCTGGACTTCTGTAAAGGGTCTTTTAGTTTAACTCAGTTTCTAAACAGTCTTTTCTTGAGGAAAGCCCTAGATCAAATTTCCAAAATCCTGTGCCCTGTGACGTGCTGTGGCATCCTCAGAGGAAGCCTGGAAATTTCCTGTGAAGTGGTGCTGCAGGCTTATTCAGCACGTCCTCTGTTTCATTTCCTCTGCTTGGTTTTTAAGGGAGATCTCAATGTTTTTCTTGGTAATTAAATATTGTATTACCTCTGGGGTGATTAAGAAAGACCTACACTCTAAGACAGGCATGGTTTCCCAGCACTCGGGAGGCAGAACAGGTGGATCTCTGTGAATTCAAGGCCAGCCTGGTCTACATAGTGAGTTCCAGGCCAGTTGTGGCTATAGGGAGACCCTGTCTGAAGAAAAACAAAACAAAACAAAAAAGACTGATACTCTCTATATCCACCAGTGGATCTCAAACACAGTATGTGTTAGAATGTTAGAATCTACCCTGGAGAGCTTATTTACAAATTAATCCATCAGGCATCCAGCTCAACCCCAGAATCTGTGTGCCTGAAGTTTAGGGCAGAATTGGGATCTGCATTCTCATAAACACAAGTGACACCTGGGCTAGCAGCCAGAAGGCCACTCTCGGGGTGATGCTGCGGCTGTCCCTCAGGACAGTTTTCCAGGTAGAGTTTCTTCCGTCTCAGCTAAGAGGGAAGCTGCATGCAGATGGCGGAGGTGGGGGGACGCCCAAGCCCTTTGGGGCCCAGAGGACTGTATGAAGAGTGAGCCCAGGTGTTAGACATTGAGCCACATAATATAGATTTACACTGCTGAACTTTGGGTTTGCTTTGGTGTGATTGTTTTGACGTCCCAGTTCTCTTTTTGAGATAAGAATATTTAAGTGTGCAACTTTTTTTTTTTTTTAAATAGGAACCTACAATAAAGAGATTTTTTTTAAGACTTCAGACTTTAAAGTGTTGGAGATTTTGAAGACTTTGGAGACTTTTAAAGTTGGATAGTTTTCTTGTTAGTTTTGCCAACTTGACACAAATTAGATTCACTTGGGAAGAGGGAACTTCAGTTGAGGAATTTCCCCACTAAACTGGCCTATGGGCATATCTGTGGGGCATTTTCTTGATTGCTAATTGATGGAGGAGGGCCCATCTTTGGGTAGTGCCATCTTTGGGTAGGTGGACCTGGGCTATAAAATAGAAGTAGGGAGAAAGTCTGTAACAGTATTCCTCAGCAAGCAGGGTTCCCCCAAGCTGTGCTTCAGCTCCTGCCTCCGGGTTCCTGCCCTGAACTTCTGCCCTGGCTTTCCTCAGTGTGAACTAAGGAACTGTCATGAGGATCTGTAAGTCAAATAAACCCCTTCCTCCCCAAGTTGGTTTTTGTCAGTGTTTTATCACAACAACTGAGAAGCAAACTGTAACAACTGTATTTTACAGTATGACACAAATAATGAGACCTTGGAGACAAGGGATGCAAGATTATTATTTTTAAAGAGTATTTTATTTATTATGTTTAAGTATATGAGTGTATTGCCTACATGTATGTAAATGCACCTGTTTCATATAATGCCCAAAGAGGTCAGAAGGGCATCAGATTCCCCTGGAACTGGAGTTACAGATGGTTGGAAGCTGCCATGTGGGTGCTGGGAATTGAACCCAGGTCCTCTGCAAGAGCAGCCAGTGTTGAGCCGTCTCTCTAGTCCCAAGATTATGATTTTTAAAGTGATTTTTTTTTTGACAAGGGTGGAACATAATGGTTAGCTTTGCCTGTCAACTTGACACACCTAGGATGACCTGGGAAGGGAGTCTTATTGAGGAATTATCTAGATCAGGGTGTCTTTGGGGGGGTTGTCTTGATTGTTGGTTGAAGTTGAAAGACCCAACCCACTGTGTGCAGCACCACTCCCTAAGCTGGTCCCTGAACAGTATGAGTGAAGAAATCTAGCAAGCAAACATAAGCAAGCAGGCCGCATGTGTGTGTTTCTCTCTGTGCATAGCTCTGGATGTAGCAGGACCAGCTGTCTTAGTTCCTTAGACGCCCTTCTGGCTTCCCCACAATCATAGACTACAGCCTGGAACTGCAATCCAAATAAGCCCTTTCTCCCCTGGGTTGCTTCTCCTCGGAGTAGTTTATCACGCCAAGGGAACCGAAACCAGAACGGTTACACAACTAAAAACAAAAGAGAAAAGCACACGATAAAAAAATTCATAGAAATGGGGCAGCCAATAGAAAAATACACGGTGTAGTCAGCTAAGGACTGGGAGTCCAGACACAAAAGCACTCCCAGGGAGGGTCACCGACAAAGCATGCCAGTCGGAGTGGGACCAGAGATGGAAAGGACAGAAATTCCCCCAGCGGCTTCCTCTGCGGCTTCACCTGCCTGTGTTTGTTCTACACCAGACACACCTGGACAAGGACAGTTAAGGGTCTCCCAGAATCGGCAGTGGCTCAACCCACGGTCCAGGTGCCATATTCCTGTGAGCTAGCTAAGACGCTTGGTGCGCCCTGAAGCATGGATGGTGAAAGTCTGATGCATAGACTCTAACCCTGTTGCTGTGGCCCTCATCCAGTTCCTTAGCCTCTCAGGGTCTGGTTTCTTATCTGTAGTTGGGATAACAATGTACCTACC